GGATTTCATGTGCAACACACTATTGTTGTTTATACAAAGCATAAAGGTAAAACAAAATATATATAGTGTTATCTTCATTTTAGAGGTCAAAAAGTATTTGCGGCTCCCAGTGTTTTCTTTTCAGTAGAAACCGGCTCTTTGAGTGTTAAAGGTTGCTGACCCCTGATCTTGGGCCATGTCCACACTAATACGTTTTTGTTTGAAAATGCATCTTTTTCTTTCCATTTTGGCCTTCTGTCCACACTGAGACTGTGTTTTTGGTCAAGAAAAACTGAACTTTTTGAAAACTCCAAAGTGGATAAATTTGAAAACACCATTTGAAAGTTGGACTGTGAATACGGAGGCTTTGGAAAACGATATCGCATTTTAGTCACATGATGCAATCATGTGATCAACTCAACTAAGATGGCAGAAGGCATTGTACAGCAGTTGTTATGTTTGCTCTCAATTTTGACAGCCCTGTTAAAGATTAATATCAACTCCACGTCATTGTCAGTCCATTTAAAAAACTCTGTGGTTTTCCTTGACATTTTGCGGTGATGTTTCAAAGAGCAGGAAAGTAAATAAATGGCAGACAGAAATCTTAAGCATTTCATTGTGGATGAACCTCTTCGGAAACAAATCGAAAACGATAGTGTGGACGCGGAGCGTTTTTAGATGAAAACACCATTTTCAAATCTATCTCCCTCTCCTAGGGAGAATAGGGTTCACTGCCTTCATGTTTATTGCCACTTCTTTTTGATCAGCTGCTGTTTAAGTGAAGGAAAAATAGTAAAATGTGTCTGGAGTTGGGATCATTCAGCATTGCCTTATTTTCACAAAATTATTAAGTGAAGTCGTAAGTGGGTTCTTCATGTCTCAGTGTCATCTGCATATTAGTAAACAATTACAAGTGTAATTGTCACGGCGAGTGAGAAGAGCCGTGTGGAAAAATAAAGGAGGATCCAATTGCAGGCAGTCATGAAGATGTCAAGGTGGTTTATTGAACACAAAGCACAGAGAAAAAATGGCAAACGAAAATTAAACTAAACTATACTGGGTACAACTAAACTACTGAATATGAACAAGAACACGAACATGAAGGAGGGTGAGCAGACGACAGTTGACAGCAGGGAGAACACACGGATGAAACATGGAAGATACAAAGACAGACCAGCGACTACAACAACAGAAGACACGACTTAAATACACTCAGAGAACACAGGGAGATTACACACAGGTGGGGAACACAACTGGAAGTAATAAGGGCTAACAAGACAGGGGGAGAAGTAAAACTGAACACGCTGACATCACACATGAACATGACCCTTCAAAGTAAAACAGGAAACAAGACACTTCACTAAGACACGGACTAGACAGAAAGACGGACTTGACACTGAACAAAAACCTACCATAATAATAATAATAATAATAATAATAATAATAATAATAATCACAGTATCACAAAGTAATCAGAATATAAATCATAATCCCAAGAAATACCAAAAACATAAGAACTAATCCCTAAACAAGAATAACTGAAACATAGATTATCATAATAATCCATAAAGCATCAGAGAAAGAAAATAAGAAAACAATCCATCATTCAAAAATAAACCAAAACATACGAACTCAAAATACTGGGTCAAAACGACCCAGAACCATGACAGTAATAGAATCGAATGAATTTGTAGTTATTTTAAGCTGATCAGGTGAAGTAAACCTCAGTTGATCAGCTCAGCCTCTCCTTTATCAACAGGATGGTTCATATCATGTGTTTATACTCTGCTTCATGAATAATGT